AGAGGGCTGAGAAAGGACATGCCCCGTTCCATCTTTTTGTTTCGAGACGAAGGCTCACTCTGCAGTCCATGCTGAACTAGAACTCATTCTGTAGCCCACACAGCCTTGAACTTACCACAGTTTTGCCTCAGCCTCTCTTCAAGAGCTGGGATACGGGCATGAGCGCTGTGCCCAAGCACTCCATGTAAGTCCCGTGCACTATTTCCCCTTCCCTCCACATTCTCTGAAGAAACTGAGGTCCCACTGCCCTGCTGCAACAGAGAGGGCCTCTAGTTCGGGCTGTGGTGTACCATGTTTAAAATAGGGGGTTATTTCAAAGGGAGGTAGAGGGCAACATGGAGATGCCAGAGGCCCCTAGACCCCAGCAGCAATCCTGGGTCCTGAGACTGAGCGGGGACAGAGGCTGAGAGAGAGTGTGAAGTGCCCAGGCTGGAGCCTTGACCAAGGGTGCTCTGCTGGCCACCTACTGGAAATGAGCACTAAGCCTTGTGTCCTTAGAGAAAAGGGCAGCGGTGGACAAATGGGCCTCATGGGCATGCCAAAGTCACAGAGGCAGTGATGATGAACATCACAGACTGAAAAACGCGAACTGTCTTATTGTCTCAGATAAAATGAGCAAACACAACCCACTATTGGGGGGAGGCATGTCCCACAACAAATGATTCTGAAATTCTTGCCAACAGGGCAGAGTGGGGCATCAAAACACAATCAGATTTGGAAAAAATGCAACACTGTTACACTTCATCCCTCCGATTCTGAGGACCAGGGTATGCCTAGTAAAATCCCTGTACTGATGCGGGTAAATTGCCTAGAACCTTTGGAAGCTCAGTTCCAGTCTTGTGGCAAATTGTAGCATCTTACAAATACACTCTTGATCCTATGATCATTCCACTAGACAGACTCTGTTCAACAAGCTCAAGCTCACCACGCCAATCTTTTTTTTTTTTTCTTTTTTTTTTGGTTTTTCGAGATAGGGTTTCCTCTGTGTAGCTTTGCGCCTTTCCTGGAACTCACTTGGTAGCCCAGGCTGGCCTCGAACTCACAGAGATCCACCTGGCTCTGCCTCCCGAGTGCTGGGATTAAAGTCGTGCGCCACCACCGCCCAGCTTCACCATGCCAATCTTTGTTGGACTGATTGTTCAGTTTGGAGCAAGCAGGAGACCACCCATGCCACGTGGCTGAAATACTTCTACCTTCTTGGGGACATATTGAGGGAGCCGTCCCTGCCACATCTCTATGTCACACTCTGTGCTCTTGGGAAGAGGTACACTCACCCAGAGGGTGACTGCACTACCAGCTGTTCCCTCCCAGCTTCTTCAGCACGCAGTGGTGGCCCACACCCTCAGGTCTGTAGGCCCAGCTTCACGTCCAGATTAAAGGAAGAAGGCCTGATTTTAGCCTGAACTTCAGGCAGCATCTGGAACTCTGGCTGTGTCAGTCATAAGGCGGGCATTGTAATTTCATCCCTGACAGATGCCCGTGTCCTTCACATACGTGAGTGACTGAGTCTCTCGGGGAACAATGAAGAGTTGGCATGGGAGACCGATGTCACAGGGAGAGGAAGGGCCTCCTAGGACAGCTGTAACAGCTGATGTGGCCGACTCACAGCTGCGTGCTATGGCAGGCCCATATAAACACAATTTCTGACACAGGTGGCCAACGTTGTCACAATGTTGGCCACCTATAGGACAAGGTTCATGTGGCAGGCACCGAGTAAGGCTTTATAAGGCTTTGGCTGGTGTTGTCCAGCTCTGACCAGGTCTCCTATCACTGTAATTTACAGAGCAAAGTTTGTTACATTTGCAGATACAATTCAAGACCGCTATTAAATGACTGGATGTAAATTCCCCATGTTGTTTATGTGTAAGTCTTGGTCTACATACACACTTGTTCCAGAACTATTTTTGTGTGGCCACTGTTCTGAATATATATACTCTCTTGGTCCCTAACTATATTCCCACCACGTTGTTGGTGCTCAGAAACTTGTGTGTTAATAAGGCATTAAGGTCCATGTCCATGGGCCACATGGGTAGTTATGGACACGTCTGCTGTTCTTGTTCATGTGCACCAATCAGATCCGAGAGCTACCTCACAGAACGAGTCTCAAAAACACAGCAAAACAAGCTGCGGTCATGCCAAGCCATGAAACCCTGGTAGCCTTCTTCTATCTAGACTTTTGATTCCATTCTTCCTATGACTTTTAATCACTGGAAGGGTTTTGTTACCATTTGTGCCTGGTGGTATTGGTGTTTAATCCCAGCACTATGGGGGCAGAGGCAGGCGGAGCTCTGTGAGTCCAAGGCCAGCCTGGTCTACCGAGCGAGATCCAGAACAGCCAGGACTACACAGAGAAACCCTGTCTCGAAAAACAAACAAACCAAAAACCATTTGTAATATGCTTATAATTGATATTTTTTATTTGGAGTTTTTTTATGTTACTTATTACTTAAGCTTATTGCAAAATGCTGTTTCTTGCAAACAGCTTTGTGTGAGTGTGTGTGTGTGTGTGTGTGCGTGTGTGTGTGTGTGTGAGTGAGAGAGGGGGGGGTGTTTCATTGAACCCAGGCTGACCTCAAGCTCAGCTAAGCATGACCTTGAACATGGGAATCCTGCCTCTAACTCCCCAATGCTGGGATTATAAACATGTTCCATCACATCTGGCTTTCAGATATCTTTCTTGAATTCTGACACGTAGCAGGGGAATGACTTGTGCACTTCAGCTCCACAACTGACGTACATCTTCACAAAAATGTCTCTGCTGAAGGTCCAGCTTATTGCAGAGATTTGTGTGTGGGCGGTTCATTGGAAAGCGACAACAGGGAGCAGGAGTGGGTAGAAGAGGGAGCCAAGCAGCTGGAAGACAAGCCTGAACAGGCCTGGTGAGTCAGCACCGTTGCCATGGCAACTGTGATTCAGTTCTTCAGACCTTCAGAGAAGCTGCTGGAACAGGGCTCAGAACTGTCTCCTGGGGGGAGGGGAGGGAAGGGGTGTTTATCTACTGAAGTCTGCCTATTTTGGGCTTTAGGTAGTTCTGGAGGGGTTAACCCCTTCCTTCTAAGGTGAACTACAAATGGCTCCTGTATGGATCTGATCAAGGCTTGAACATAACTGTTTGGGGCATTGGTACCTGTGACAAGAGGTGCCATATTAGAATACTTGTTCAACCAGGCACAGTGCATGTGATAGACATGCTCTACCCCAGCTCTCCCCTCCATTACAGTGCATGTGATAGATCATTCTGAGTATGCAGTGTTTTCCAGAAGGTTCCTGATGTGTGTTTAGTTCCCGACTGAAGAAGCAGGTAGGAGACCCAGCTTCTTCCATAATCTAGGCATTAAAGAGATTTGCAAAATTCTAAGATGATTCTATTTGGGCCACAAATTCTGTGCTGGAAAATACCAGTATTTTTTATGAAGTACATGAGTGCGTGAGTGTGCATGCACATGTGTGTGCATGAGGCCAGACACTATTATTTGTTTTTTTGAGACAGGGTTTCTCTGTATAACAAGACACCATTATGTGGTGAGAATGTAATGATTGGCAAAATTAGCTTTACAACTAAAAAGAGATTGGCTTGTTTATTTTTTGGTGTGTGTGTGTGTGAGTACCCACGCCACTGCCTGCATGTGAAAGTCAGAGGACAACTTGTGGGAGTTGGTTCTCTCTTCATCATGTGGGTGGGGATCAGACTCAGGGTGGGAGGTTTGCTGGTAATTACTCTCACCTAATGAACCATCATCTCACTTCCCCTGGTTTATTATTTATAAAAGTAATACATAAAATCACATGAAAGCTCTTTGGAGGGTCCACTTTTTACAAACTATTCAACAGGTCCTGAGATTATTTAAAGTGGAGAGAAGCCTAAGTTTATCATAACCCTCAAAAAGAAATACAGCCCATAATGTGAAAACAGCCCCTTATAAGGTAGAGACAGAACGACAAGTCGATTTTGAAGCTAAGGCTACTCCTCACTCCCGTTACCTTAAAAACGTTGCCTGCCCATTACTGGTCCTTGGAGAGGACAGAAGAATATTGTGAACACGAGTGGCAGCTCTGATCACTTCCTGCTCTTTCCAAGGTAGCAGCCCCAATCTTGCTGGACCACTGGCTCAGGGTGAGCAGATAGGACAGTCATTTGCAACCCTGGCTGCATGTTAGAAGACTCGGGAGACGCTGTTCTTGGTTGCTTGGCTGTGTAGTGTTCTGCATACAAGACACCATTTATTTGTTATTCTACAGAAGAGGGTCTCCTCAATAACCCAGACTATCTCCTCGTGCTTTCTAGAATATTCTACACAACCTCAATGCTCTACATAGCACTCATTCACAGACAGTATTTGCTTATCTATCAATCAACCTCTAAAAGCTCTTTAAGATAGATTTTTTTTTTAAAGATTTACTTATTTATTTGTTTATTATGTATACAGTGTTCTGCCCACATGCATGCCTGCACTGCAGGCCAGAAGAGGGCACCAGATCTCACCACGGATGGTTGTGAGCCACCATGTGGTTGCTGCGAATTGAACTCAGGACCTCTAGAAGAGCAGCCAGTGCTCTTAACCTCTGAGCCACCTCTCCAGCCCTTAAGATAGATTCCTATTATACCCTTCCCATGCTTAAACAGTCCCTGGTCATGGGAAGCACTAATATTTATGTTAGTAGAGAAGGATGATTTAGTGGGCACAGTATATAGTCTGTAAAAGCCTGAGGACCAGAGCTCAGCTCTCCAGCACCCACATAAAAGTAATGACAAGATGGGACACAGAGACAGGGAGAGCCCTGGAAGCTGTGGGCTAGCCTGGTCTAAGTGGTGAAGTTAGGCCAATGGGAAACCCTTTCTCAAAGGGTTCCTGAGGAGATAAGTTGCCCTCTGACCTTTATAAACACTGTACATGTGTGCATTCCCACTCACAGAAACATGTGCATGTGTGTACATACAGACACAAAGTTGATTATAGTACAATGTGGTATTGTAGTCTGTCAATTAAAAACACAACTGAAAATATTTACAATTTTACTTGAACTGAATCTAAGAAATCAACTTTCATGTTTTTACATGTCAATATTGGGTATTAAAAGGACAGCCAATATAATTATTTTCAAAGTTATTCACTCCAAACTTGTACATGCTTGGTGTTAGAATATTTACACACAGCTCAGTTCTGGGTGTTAAGTTCTCGAGCTCCAAGGAAGAACATCTTGTTTACTTCACTGATGGGAACATCTCTTAATGCTGGGATGGCATCTTCTTGGTAGTTCTTCCACTGTTGATTTTTAGCATAGTTATCTGCAAGAAAAGAAGAGCTCCGCTGAGCCAAGCATTTTCCTTCCGTAATTTCTGTGATTGGTTAAGACCGCTCGTGTAATGTGACGGATCCCTTTGTCTCAATGTGTTTCTGCAGTCCACTGACTGCTTTTCTGACAGAAGTATTAGCATCTCACTCCTCTAACCCTCCCTAACTTGATTTATGTATAAACTTACCTGTGATCGTATGAATGGAGTCGAGTGGAGAGGTACTCATCATGTTAATTCCAAACAAGAGTACATAACCAATGACAACAGCAATAAGAAGGTAGACAGGCAACGCAACGGCCCAGTATCTGCAGGAGCGAACATTATCACAGGTTAACACACACGTTAAGAGGTCATAATTCCCAAGAGGCACTCACAACACGTGCTTTTTGTTTGTCTGTTTTTTTCAAGACAGGGTTTCTCTGTGTAACAGCTCTGGCTGTCCTGGAATTCGCTCTGTAGACCAGGATGGCCTCGAACTCACAGAGATCCACCTGCCTCTGCCTCCCTAGTGCTGGGATTGAAGGCGTGAGCCACCACCACCCAGCCCACAAAACATACTTTAAAAATTTATATTTTTATTAAAGCAGCAGATGTACACGGTAATCCTACAAGAGTTTAGGCTGCATTCACCTGTCTCAGCCAAGCCATCCCGACCCTGGAGTCTTAGTCCACCCAAACAAGCCCTTTCAACATCTGAGCTGTGTCTTCTGGTACTTATTTCCATATAACATGCCCACATTATTATTTCTTGATTTCATCAGCTTCAGACATTTTCTCTAGATGTTCTAATACGAAAACGAGGCCTTTCCTTCTCCCACATACGTTCTATAGTTACACTACACTTTTATTATGTCAGCACTTAAAAACAACTGACTATATAAACAGCATCTGCAACTGAGAATCTTAGTGTATCTGTTTTCTTCTTCTGGAATTCCAGGTTTCTGTCTGTTTTCCTAGTATCTTTCAATACTTCAGACTCAAATTCTTAATGCTTCTCAATTTCCCTCTCAATATAGTTAAGCTCACTAAGTGCTCTATCTTGCCAGGTTTTATTTACTATTAAAAATCCCTCCCTATTTTCCCCTTCCTAGAACGTCTAATAGTGTTTATACATCACACTTCCTGTTTTCCATCTCTGCTTACTCTTCTTCTGTGTAACAATCGACTTTCTAGGTAGCATTTTAGTTTTAGCATGCTTATAACTTTTCAATTGGTAATTAAAAAAACCATTTCCTTGGACAGCATGCTGCTCAGGAGCCTTTCTCATCCTTGATTAGACTTTTTTTTCCTTCTGTGGCTGACATTAGCTCCGTTTTCTTTGAGTCTCTTCTTTCTTTTGCATTTGAGGACAGACTTTCTCCTAATGTCTAGGATTTATGACAGTCCATATTTAAAATCCAAGTGATAAGAAGTTGACAGGAAATAAGGTGTGCACATGGGCAGAGATGGCAGACAGGTCAGAAATGACAGACCCTGTCTTTTACCCTGGTCAGCTCTCTCAGCAAGGCACCTCCCATCTTTCTCTGGGAGAGGGCGGTATAGAACTTGAAGCCAAGGGAAGGTGCTAAGGGAGGGACCGGCCCTTGCTATTTAGCCATGCAGACGTTCGTTTATTACAGGCCCCTGTGCTTCCTTTTCACAGGTAATCCCGGTGACCTCCAGACTACAGACTCTCCACCACACTTTCCATAGGATTGAACTATTTTCTGCAGGGGAGGGCAGGGGCGACCTCCAGGCTTAAGGTAAGGAAGGGGAGTCAGCAGGTCAGCTCTTTAAACACATCTCCTGTCTAACGCACAATTACCATTGCCAAGAGAGGTTGATGTTTCCAAGGTCTGAGGCCATTTTGGAATTCCAGGGCACAAATACTCTTGATGTCTCTCCTCCTCTAGCACATGGAAAAAACAGACTCTTCTATCTCAAAGACTATCCCAAAGTTTTGTTAGTATCTTTTGTCTGCTATTCTATTTTATCTCTGTATGCTTACACCTTTAAAAGATTTTTCAGCAACAGTATAATTTTAGAAAGATTTTATGGAGGAAATGGAGACAAATGTGTTTTCACCACCATCTTTAATTAGTGATATATTAATAACCTTGAAGAAACTTTCAGTTTCTGCTGGGGTACGGCTCACTAGTTAAAGCACTTGCTGCTCCAGTGTGAGGACCAGAGTCTGGATCCCGGGAGCCCAGGCACCTGCTAGGTATGTGTGGTGGCCCACCTGCAATTCTAGCAGTAGAAGGCAGACAGGGGATCCTGGAGCAAGCTGGCTAGTAAGACTACATTGTTTCACTCTGGGTTCAAGTGAGAGACCTTGCCCCCACGATTAAGGTGGAGAAGGATCAAGGGAGACTCCCACATCAACTCGGGACCACTACACACACATGCAAACATAAACATGTTCACCTTCACACACAAATGTGGCCAAACAAATGAGAACACCCTCCCACTCCACTACACCTCCCCGACACAAAAATAAAACACAATTTCAATTTCAACACAATTACTTATGGATTTTAAAACAATAATGATTTAAGGTGTGTGTTTTAGAGAAGACTATGATCCTTCAAAACAGTACAGTTTTACCCTTATTAAAGAAATATTAAACTTACTTCTGAGGCCAGTAAGTCAAGCCTAGAGAGTTTAACCAAGATTCGGGAATGAAAGCCCATACAATATACAGTACTGCGGGATAAAGAGGGTCGGGAAGAGAGAAAAGTTAGTAAGGCATAATCCAGTTTATATGGTTCAGATACAACAAGAATCTTCCCAAGGCATGCTCGACTCTCAGATTTCAGCATCTTTAGCTTCTTGTTTGTACCATTCTTGTAATATTTACCATAATTACCATATTAATAAGTTTTTAGTCTCTTAGCTCTCACACTGTATTAAACAGTCAAAGGACACATTGCTTCTTAGCAACTTATTTTTACAGCATCTAGTGAGTTGTTTCTACATGCTGTATGTTCAATACTTCTCCACAGGTCAGATGTCATCGCACTTAGTTGCTTAAAGGGGAACTTGTCCCCTCTGGTTCTGACTGTCTACATATGATCTTCCTTCCCTTAATACTGAGTCTACGGCCTCCTTTTTGGCTGTCTCTGTGTAGTGACAATACGCAGGCTCTGAACTTCTCTGCAGTTAACCCTCAAACAGTCCTGAGATACGTGTGTAAATTTTATACCCGGGTTGTGGTAAAGACAAGTTTCAAACTACATCAGTGATGATGGGTCATTTTTTCCTTAAGAATAAAGTGTTACAGAGCTTAGTGTGTCAAGACTGTGGAATACATTGAATCCTGAAGAGATTCTTCTGCTTTCCTTATGCATTGGTGCTGAACAAGGATGGTTAAACTCTTTTCCCTACACTGTGGTAAGTGCTAATGACTGAGCACTAAAAGACAGCATACAGTACAGGAGAGGGACCTTCGTATGCTCCTTATCCAGACTCTCCAACCATGGATGAAAACGCAATGGAAGCAGACAGGGCTTGGCTGCTTTGCTATTCCCTGGCTTATAACATTGCCTGGTACACAGTAAGTGCTTAATAAATTCTTGAATTAATTTTTTGACACTCATTTAACTGGTTTGTATAGTTTCTAATCCTTAAAATACTATTTGAATAGGTATTTACAAAATAATAGCTAACACCTATTAAACATTGTTTCTTTGCATTAAGTACTTTACATAAAATACCCGAGTTAATACAAGAGTCAACAAAGGCAGTAAAGTCCACCAGTATGCCTGTGTTCTAATTCCAGTCCTACTGTTTATTAGCTTTGTGGCTTTGAGCAAGTTACTTAAGCCCAGTATTCTCACCTTCAAATTGAGGACACCAGTACAGTGCCTACTTCACAGGATCACCTCATGCAAAACATCAACAATGAACATTATCAATATCCCCTTAGAGTAAGTCAAACACTCTTAGGCCACACAAGGAATCCATGAAAGAGCCAGAATTTGAACTCAGTTATAACTTCTTCATCCCACTGACTTATTCCACTGACCAGGCTGTACAGCTGAGCTAAAACTTTTCAGTTAAGATTTCAGAACGTTGTATTGTGGGCATCTAATTTTCTTCCATTTGGTTGCCTCATACTTTCCCAACATTTTGCAGAGGGACTTTGGTCCTCCCCGTGTGAGTTGGTCACGTTAGTTTTTTAAGCCAGCCTCCATGTTCTCATTTATAAAATGGGCCATTACGGGGATCAGAGTAGATGCAGCATGGTAAAGTGTACATTTTACACCTGACTTCTCTAGCTACACTCTTCAGCTCCAGCATGCTGCCCCGGAACTATAAACCCCTCACACCCAAACCTTCCCAGGCCTCATTCAGGGACTCTCCCATGGCCCTTCCCCATCGCCTTATTCTTCTCTGATAAAATTGTCAGGGGGTGCCCCGGAGGAAGCTGACCTGACTTCTCAGGCTCCCACTGCTCTCCCAGGGAATTCATCATGCTGCATTGCTGTAGGTTTGCTATACTTCTCCACAAGACCGTGACCTCAAGGGCAGGGGCCAGGTTTTATTCGCTTTAGTGTCGAGCCTGGTGCTGGATAAATATCGGAGACTAAACCTAGTACTGGACACATAAACACTGGGCAAACAGCGGATTCCTTCCAGGGCTCCTTAAGAAGAGGCAGAGGTGGAATCAGCAGCTCACGTGTGCACAGTCTAAGAACACACGCGCATTCTCTCCTGGTCCTCGAGGACTAGGAGATGCCCTGGCCATCCATCACTCCAGTACTTACTGAAGCCAAACTGGGAGCTTAAGAAAAGAACAAAGCCATAAATCGCTCTTTCGGGCAATGGCGACGGGGAGTTTTCCACCATCTTCCTTCCCTGTGGCCTTAGACCATCTGCGGAGAAGGAGCACAGTCGTCGTCAGACATGCCCCCTCCCTTCCCCACCAGTCCCTTACATAACCTCCTGGCAGGGACGCGGACACACTGCGGATGCCCGCGCGCCCCCAACCCGGGCCCCTCCGCGTGCGCGCGCGCGCCCCTGCACCCGGGAGTGGGGGGGGCGGGGCGGCGGGAGCGCGCGCTGCGGGGGAAACTGCGCCGACTCGGGACAGCCCGAGGCGAGGGCCAGGCCCGGGCCGGACCGGGTCCGGAGTCATGAGGGGCTCGGTCCCCGGGAAGGAGCGAGGCCCTCGACCTTGGCTCCTTCGATCATCCACCCACGCCCACCCTTTCTCCCCCCCCCCCCCCCCGCAGCCCCTCCGCACTCAGCCCTTCGCGCAGGCGCCGACCAGACTGCCGCAGTGGGAGCAAAAAATAAATAAAAAATCCCGAGGAAAAAGCGGGGGCTCGGAGGCGCCCCTCCGGTTGGCGCAGGCGCACAGCGCGGGGGCTAGCGCAAACTCACCACCCGCCCCCGCCGAGCCGAGGGGGCGGGGCGGCGACCGCGCATGCGCGGCCCCCCCTCCCCCGCCGGCCCACGTGACCCGCCAGCCTCCGGAGCGGCTGGCCGCTCGCTCGCTCGCTCGCTGGCTCTGCGGGGCTGGTTGACGTGGAGGGGCCGGAGGCTGCGGCGGCGGCGGCGGCGGCGGCCCGCGTCCGGGGCTCGCGGGCTGCGGGCCCGGGTGAGTGCAGCTCCAGTGCGCGGCGGGGCTCCCGGAAGTGTCTGCGTGGTCCCGCCGCAGCCGAGATGCCCGGGCATCGGGGCGCTCCACACCTCCCCGCGTGGGTGTGTGGTGAGTGTGGGTCCGCGCGCCGCCGCGCGTCTCGCCGAGGCGGGCAGGCGGGCGCCCGCGCGCGGAGGGGGTGTGGCCGCCCTTGCCCCCCAGTGGGTGTGTCCCCTTTGTCCGGGGGGTGGGGTGGGGTGGGGTCCTCGGGTGTCCCGTCACGGTAGGAGTGGGCTTTGGGTGTGCGCATCCCCTAACGCGAGGGGCTGACATCCCTGCCGGGCCGCCGGCCGCCGCGTCCTGGGCGCGCGGGGACGCGCCTCTGTGTCCGCGGCTGGCCCGGCTTTGTTCCTGGGCTCGCCCTTCCCCTGCGATGGCGTGGGCGTCCTCGTCTCTGTTGGATAGGGTCCCCCCCCCCCACCTTTGTCACTGCCTCCCCTGTGCTGTGCGCGCCCCCCGCCCCCCGGCGCGCGCGCCCGCCACTGCGGCATCCTGCAGGGGCTGGCGGGCGGGCTGGCGCGCGGGTGCGTCCCCGCGTGTCCCCAAAGGTGCGCTGCGCAGGGGTCCTGCGGCGCGCGCGGGGTTTGGCTCGCGAGGGCTCTGCAGCGCGCGGGCGCGCGACCCCCTGGTCTGTGTGCGTGCGCGCTGTTTCCCTGCGTTCGCACGCGCTGATGTTAGGGAGGACCAGGGAGGGACGCAGTGCTGCCCCCCACCTCCAGGAGCCGTGGAGGAGCATCCTTTGCCCTCCAGACTGCTGCAGGGGCTGCTGCTGCTGCGGCGCAGGGGTGGCGACGTCACTAAAGCCTGTGCAGCCATGGCTTGGCGGGGAGGGGGCAGACTAGGGGGACAAAGAACCCAAATGAAGCCGAATGTGGGCTGGCACCCGTGCACGGTTGCTTTTGCAGAAGCTTCTAGCTTCTGAACGTCCTTCAGTTGGCCAGTCCTCTCTCAAGTGTACGCTCATGTCTTTTCACCAGGCCGTCTTGCAAACACTGAGTGGTTATTGTAGGGTGTTTTATGGCAGCCATATAAATCTCTGGATTCTGGCGAGGGAACCAGGGCTGAAATCGTACAGGTTTTTACTGCTCTCTCTTGTGCGGTTTTCTCACAGCCACAGCTCTAGTTAGAACACTTACTTCAAAAAATTTGTGTTTTATTGGAAGAAAAACGGGTTTGTTACAAGGATACACGGGGAAAGAAAGGAAAAAAACCCCTTTAGGGACTGAATTGGTACTACGGTGCTTGTCAAGGGTTTGTGCTTTGCGCTGAAGGGCTGCGGTTTCTGCCTGTTTCTCTCCTGCTCAATTTCCTTACTGTTGCCTAATTTTCCTTTTAATTTTCTGGAATACTTCAAAGATTAAACATAGGCAGATCTAACCAAGCCAGACATTTTCTTTATTATTATTATTATTATTATTATTATTATCATTACTTGCCAAATTTACTTCAAATCCTCCACAAAAAAACAAAAACAACAACAAAAAAACAAAACACTTAAAAAGTTTTGGAGGTGCTGAGAGTTCTCCCCTCCTTACCTGGAGATAGCCACTGTGTTGAGGTTTCTGTGTGTCATTTCCGTGCACAATTTATAATTCGGTAATGGTGAATATAAACAATACATAGTATTGGTTTTTAAAGTAAAGGGATAAAAATTATGTTTTTGCAACTTGCTTTATCACTCAGCATCACATTTTGAGAGATATATATGAATAAATCGAACAATTGTACTTTCTTTGAATTATTATAATTGTTGGTGTAGCACTGCATTGTATGAATGTACCATAATTTATTTTATAGTCTGTTCTTGATGGATTTTGGAATTGTTTACAGTCTTTACTCTTTAAAACAGTCCTGCAATGACTATAGTTGTACCTGTTTGTTATGAACACCTTTGGAGTTTCTCTAAGAAGTACACTTAGTCATAGTTTTGCTGGGTGGTAGAACATATGTGTCTTCCATTTAACCAGATACGATAGACGCTCTCGAGATGGTTGTACCAGCTTTTACAATCATTGATATTGAAAACGCCCATTTCCTCACATGCTTGCTAACAAACTACGGTTTTTTCTTTTCTTTACTGACCATCTTCTTTATGACTTTAGCTTCCTGCTAAATTTGCTTACAGCCTGTCTTCTGTCTAGCCGTGTGACAGCAAATGGGTTAATCTCTCATAGCTAATTGGTTCGGTCTTTATTGAATTTGGTCTTTATAATATTAATTCCAACAAACATTTATGTTATGTTATCTAATGTTGCTATGGTTGATGTAAAGATAGAATTTCATGGGATGTTATATGTACCTCTAGTAGCAAGTGAACTGATTTAATTAAAAGCATTTTAAAGGTATGATGTTTTTTCTTTAAATCCTTTCCTCCTTGATGTAGTAGTTGGTGTATTCAGAATACATGTAACATGTTTGCAGGCTGTGGAGTAAAACCATTGAACACTTACAAATCTAACAGTGGGTCCAAGAATCAGCCTGACCAGTATTGGATGTGCTCACTTTTCAGAGGTCATTATCCTGAATTCATGTTATTCTTGTATTTTAAACACTTTAATCAGATTTTTGTGTATGTTCAACACTGAATTGTATGTATGGGTTCTATGTTTGAGTAAGAGACATTATGGGTGTGGTCTTCTGAAACTTGCTTTCACTCAATGCTGTATTTCTAAGTTACTAATACTCAGTGCAGATGTAAGTCATTAATTCTTCACTGGAATTACTGTGTATTAGAATGCAGTTTATGCATTTTCCTGTTGGTGAGCATTTTGGTTATTCTGTTTTCCATAAGAAAAGTAAACAGCACACCCACTTGGAAGAACTGTGGTACAGCTCCAAGTAGGAAAGCAAAAATAATTTAAAATGTTAATATACAATGTGGAAAAACCTCTTTTAATCCCAGTACATCTTCTATCCACTTATTCAGGACATCGGTATCATTGGTTTTTTTCTGTTAATTATCAGTGTGTATAATTACTTTTATTCAACTCAACTGTATGGTAAAAGTAGCTATAATACCTAAAACATTTCAACACCTGTTTTTCTTGTGTGGAGTCTGCCGTGGTACATGCATGAGGACAGTGTGAAGTCCTCTCCTTCCACCATGTGGATCTGGGGGATTGAACTCTGGTTGTTAGGGTTGGTGGCACGTGCCCCTAACCACTGAGTCATCTTGCTGGCCCAGTTACACGTTTAGAAGAATCATAGTTTGACTTTAAAATGTCCTTACAATACTCTAGAAATTTATCCTTTGCAATTAAACTCAGTGCTGAACTTCTTTAGACATGCTAGCAGCATGTGGAAAGTACGTAATTTTAAAAAGCATTTTTGGTGCTTTGTGAACAAAAAATAGGGTGGAGTACCCAGCATCAGAAGCTGTTTGCTAGGGCAGAATTGCTGGTCCTTAAGGATTGCAAATGTTCAACTTCAGGAAGTGATTTCAGATCGGTTTTGAAGTGGTTGTACCAACTTGTGTTTTAGCTCATAGTTTTGTCAACTTACATACTTCCGGTTAGCATTATATGAGAGTTACAGTTAACTTGCAACCTATCCAACACTTACCTTAGATTTCTTATATTTGGCAGTAGTTTGATATGGTGCATCATTGTGATTTAAATTTGCATTTATTAATGAGATTGAGAATCTTTTCATATATTTATGCATCATGTATTTCCCTTGTGTAAAAAACATGGCCATGCTTTTTCACCCACTTTTAAAAAATACTGAATTGTCTTTTAAAGCTGATGAATAGTAGCTTTTTTTTTTAATGTACATTGAAAAAACCCAGGTCCTCATGCATTTGACAAAAATTTTCTACCACTAAACTACATCCTAGATCCCAATTCTTAGTTTTAATGTAATCTAATTGGAAATGTCCTTTGCTCTGTGTTTCTTTTAGACTTTTTTTTAAAGGTTTATTTTATTTATTCATTTATTATGTATACAGTGTTCTGTCTGCATGTCATGCCAGAAAAGGACACCAGATCTCATTACAGATGGTTGTGAGCCACCATGTGGTTGCTGGGAATTGAACTCAGGACCTCTGGAAGAGCAGTCAATGCTCTTATCCTCTGAGCCATCTCTCTAGCCCTAGACGTTTTTAAAATGATGCCTTTCTTACTTAAACTCATTTGTGAATGAGGTCGAGTTAGTGATACGCATTCATTTTATCTCATGTGCTCATCCCCTCTATTCTGTGTACTGAGTCTGCTTCTGCAGATTCGCACCCGTTGCCTGCCTGCTGAGTTCCTGTGTATTGATCTGTTTCGGGGCTAGCTTTCTGTGTTTCATGTCACCTAACCCTTATCAGTATTTCTGTCCACACTCTCTTAGTTATTGTCACTGTAGCTTTACCTGAAATCTGTTTCTGTGTTTTGGCCAGGCTGGCCTTGAACTCACTGAGTGCTGAGATACAGGCATTCAGCATCACAACTGGCTAAAAAAACAAAAACAAAAACAAAACCTATTTCTAATATTTGTTAAATGGTCCTGGGTCATTTAATAAATTGAGCCTTGTCAGGCACTGTACCATTGAGCTGCATTCTTAGC